GAGCAAAGGGGGAATTGGAGGAGAAGGGAAAGGGACTAGTGGACAAAGGAAGCATATGGGATCTTGTGCAAAAGGGGTTTTTTTTTGCGCAAAATGGCCTTGTCTATACTGCAATTTTGTGCCAAAACCTCTTCCGCAAAAAGGATCAGAAGAAACTATGCAAATGATAGTGTGAGAAATGATAATGAATGCTTAATTTGCATTGCCTCTGCCGACAAATTGAAGACCTGGTAACCACCAGATTATGTATATCCTATTTATGTGCATGTATCATTCCTGTATGATGCGTTAGATATATAAGGTGTAAACCTGTTCATTAATCCATATCTTCTAGTCAAAACCATTAGTGGTACTTGAGGAACTTAATGGCCCGCTGCTCAAGACGTGAATGGTGCATTGTCAATTCTTCCCCTTCTTTTTCCCATTTAATATTGGACCATTATGCAACACGATTTTATCTTTGCAAAGTGGGCACCTTGTATATTGCTTTGTTCTTTCACATTTATCAACTGATTCCTGCCATTATTCCCAAAGTACATTAGATCAAGAGAATAGTTCACATCTTTTGGTTCCCACCAGTTTCCATTTTAAAAATTAAGAACATCTGTTACATTACGTTCGCCTGACTCCATTGGCCTTTCTTCTGTCATATTTCCTCAAAATTTGTCAGTGGTCCCACTCAAAAATATACTAATTATTAAATCCAACATTCATGTGCCGTTAGGGGCTGAATACCATATGATACATTGTCCACTGCAACATTTTAAATACCATCCCTCTACAGACCAAGGGTATGTCCACACTACAAAGTTAATTCGAACTAACAGCCGTTAGTCCAAATTAACTTTAATAGGCAATACACATATAAACCGCTAGTTCAAACTTAATTCGAACCAGCGGAGTGCTTAATTCGAACTAGCGGAGCGCTTAATTCGAACTAGGTAAACCTAATTCTACGAGGACTAACGCCTAGTTCGAACTAAGTAGTTCGAATTAAGGGCTGTGTAGCCACTTAATTCGAACTAGTTGGAGGCTAGCCCTCCCCAGCTTTCCCTGGTGGCCACTCTGGCCAAACCAGGGAAACTCTTCTGCCCCCCTCCCGGCCCCAGAGCCCTTAAATGGGCACGGTCTGGCTATGGTGCCCGTGCCAGTTGCAACCCTGCCCCGGCCCCGGCCCGACCCAGCCACCCGCTGCCACCCTGCCCTCCGCCTCTTCCCGGTTCCCAGGACCAGGCTCCCAGGAGCCTACCTGGGGCCACTAAAGATGGATGCTCTCCCGCACTATTTCGAATTAGCAAAACGCTAATTCAAATTAGTTTTGGGGTCTAGATGCGTTATTTCGAATGCGCTTATTTCGAATTAACTAATTCGCAATCAATTAGTTTGAATTAGCGCTGTAGTGTAGACATACCCTAAGAGCTCCTCAGAATTCTCTATTACCTGGAGGGATGGAGCTGCAGCAGTGTGGAAGCCTGACATACCCCCTTTTCACCCTTCCCTGACCATTTTTTATGTTACAGAGACCCAGCCAAGTTGGTAGCACAGAGCGGGTGTGGGAGATCGGGCCACTTTTGCACACATAATGATACATACTATACTGAGCAGGAGACAATGAGAAGAGACTGGGAAGAAAGACCAGTGCATGGTACAATAGTGGCTAGGGAGAGAAAACAGGGTGAGTGGGAAAAGAAATGGGGTTATTTGGGTTAAGAAGAGAATAAGGGGTTGGAGGAAGAGACTGAAGAACAGGAAGGAAGATGAGGGAGAGGTTGTTTGGGAGGGAGAGAGGAGAGAATGCAGGAGGAGTGATTCATGAAATGCTGAGGGAGTAACAGAGCTCATTGGAACAATTACTTTGCTCACTGCATTAAAGTGGAAAGGATATAAAGACTTTGTGGTAGGATGTTTCCTTGGGTAATTTAGACAATGGATTAAATACTTTCCTCATTACATACCATGATGCTTTTGTTTTGTTTTTTGTTTTGCCAGGTTACTAATACCTGCTGTTCTACTCAACCGTGTAATCCAGATAAAGACATTAGAAATATCCTTTGGGTGTGCTACTGTTGTGTACTTTTGTTTTGGTAAATGGAAAATAAGCAGGACTGTAGTTTCTGAACACCAGCCAGTGATAACTGAATTAAACCAAGGGTAAAATTTTCAAAGGTGCTAATGACTGAGGAGCCACCCTAAAGTATTTCTACACTGTATTTTAAAACCTCCTGTGGGGTCCAGGTCAGCTGACTCTAGCTTGTGCTATGGCATTAAAAAGAGCAGTGTAGCTGTTGTGCCTCTGGCTGGGGGTTGGGCTCTGAAGTGTGGAATATGGGATATGGGTGAACATCAGAGCTCTAGCTCCAGACATTCTTCAGTATCTACACTAATATTTTTCATGCAATAGCATGAACCCTGAATGTAGACCTGCACTTAGAGGCCATCTGCTGCATGCTTTAAACAGAGTAGATATGACCTAAGTTCCATTCTCAAATGTTATAGGCTTGTAGAAGTTTCAATAGAAAATCAGCGGGGGGGGTAGGGTGGAAGAAGGCCCCAGTGGGGCATGCAGGGAGAGTTCAGTCCTCCTCCTCCACTTGGAAGCTCTCCCGCAGGGCTTCCAGGATCCGGACGGCCCGCCGCTGGGCTTTCCGAACAGCAGCAGCGTGGGGCTGAGCGTAGTGGCCAGCCATGCGCTCAGCCTCCGCCCTCCCGGCAATAGAAAATCAGCGGGGGGGGTAGGGTGGAAGAAGGCCCCAGTGGGGCATGCAGGGAGAGTTCAGTCCTCCTCCTCCACTTGGAAGCTCTCCCGCAGGGCTTCCAGGATCCGGACGGCCCGCCGCTGGGCTTTCCGAACAGCAGCAGCGTGGGGCTGAGCGTAGTGGCCAGCCATGCGCTCAGCCTCCGCCCTCCCGGCTGGCAGGAAAGCCTCCCACTTTCGCTCACACAAATTGTGCAGCACACAACATGCTGCCACCACGGGAGGGATATTGTGCTCGGCAAGGTCGAGGTGGGCGAGGAGGCACCTAAATCTGGCTTTCAGTCGGCCGAATGCCCCCTCGATCACGATGCGGGCCCTGGTGAGCCTGGCATTAAAGGCCTGGCAGGAGGGGTTGAGGTGCCCCGTGTACGGCTTCATGAGCCAGGGCTGTAGGGGGTAGGCCGCATCCTCCACCAGGCAC